AAAAGAAATTGTTTTGTACAAATGAATGTATGCTGGGTGTGGTGGCACATGCCTTTAATCTCAGCACTGGGAAGCAGAGGCAGAGCTACACAAAGAAACCTTGTCTCAAAAAACAACAAAAACAAAAAATATTCACACATACACATAAATAAAAATAAAATATTTTCTTAAAAAAACAGTGACCAAGAACTATCTTGCTTTATTAATATGAGCAAACACCATTAAAATGTATCTTGCAAGCATGGTGTCATATTTAATCCCCAGAATTCACTAAAAAAATCAGGCCTGGTGGTACATAGTTTTTGAAGGGACCCTCGATAGCCTGAGCATGGCAAACATGGCTCTGGCAGGCCTAGCCTTCTCCCTCATTACCTCTGCATTGCTAAAAACCTTGAGATTACATTCCTCAAGCTAGCCACCAAGGACTAGTCCCTTATTTGGTCTCTTCCTCCTCCTGGGGCTGACTACCAAGATCCAGCTATCAAAATATTGATGTCCTGCATCAATAAGCATCTAGCTAGAGAGCCCAAAGTCCAGGAAGCAAAACCCTGATGTACTTGACAAATCAGCAATAAGATTTGGGACATTCCACTTTCAGTGGGATAGAGCTTTCAGTGGTGGCTAGAACTGCTACAAAAAAGAGCATCAAGGAACCAACACCAAAGCAACTGGAGCCAACAAATATTCACCATACATTTCACCCTATTCTTCTAAAGTGCACATGGATCATTCTGTGCTATAGCTCACATGCTAAGCTATCAAACAAGCCACAGTAGATGTAAGGGAATCAAAACACTTATGTTTTCCAACCATAGTAGAATAAACTTAGAAACCAATGACAACTTTGTTAATTCTCCTGTAGGTAAGAATGCTTGCTTTACATACCTGATAACCTGAGTTTGATGCCAGGAATCTACAAAAAGCAGATATTATGCTTGCATATGCAATCCTAGCACTTCTGTGGTGACCAGATATTGCAGAGTACGCAGAGTGTAAAGAGAGACTGTCTGAATACGATGGATAACCAGTTAGACCCCACTCCTGAAAATGACTCTGACGTCCACATGTTCATTGTGGCAAGTGTGAGCCCTCACACATACATTTGTCTCTGTCACAAGTAAGCGGATGCATATAAAACTTATTTCAAAAGTGTCTTAAAGGTTGTGTAAGCCTGTAACTCCAGAGTTTTTGAGGCTGAAGCAGGATGATCACAAATATGAATTCAATCTGAACTTCATATAGAGTCCTTGTATCAGCTGTGCCCTCCTCAAAAAAAAAAAAAAAAAAAAAAGCATTAAAGGTTCTCCACAGCGCAATTAGCCAAAAGAAAGAACGGATATCCAGATTGGAAAGAAAGAAGTGTAAGTATGTCTCTTTGTAGATGACGAGATCTTACATAGAGAAAACCTTTAGCAAGATTCCTAGGTACAATATCAACATATAAAACTCAGTTGTGCCGGGCGGTGGTGGCACAAGCCTTTAATCCCAGCACTTGGGAGGCAGAGGCAGGCAGATCTCTGTGAGTTTGAGGCCAGCCTGGTCTCCAGAGCGAGTGCCAGGATAGGCTCCAAAGCTACACAGAGAAACCCTGTCTCAAAAAAACAAAAAACAAAACTTAGTTGCATTTCTGAACACTACAAATGAGCTTAACAGCAAACACTTTTAACCACTGAGCTCTCTCTCCAGCCCCTTGGTCACTGTGCCTCCCAATGTATAGTCCTATCCCTTTGCTCTCTCTCTTCAGCTATTCCTGCTCTGCAACTCTCCTTTCTCCAAAGCTATTCTTACTATGTGCGTATTGGTATACTTCATTGTCTATGAAGCAATGCTCATTTTTAAAAAATGATTTCTCTGCCCCTCATCAGACTGTAGAATCTTTGACTTGACATTCACTGATTCCCTCTTTGGCTAGTTTGAACATGCCTGATAACTTCCAGTTTTTCACTGTGTTAGTGAACTTTTCAGCTCCAACATTTCCACTTGATTTTATTCAAAATTCAGATCTGTCTCCTAGCTGCCATTCTCTCTGGTCTCACATCATTCTCAGCCTCCTTCAGTTCTCCACACATACTTGAAAAAGGTGAATTAAAATCTTTGTTTAGTAGGTCCAAACCTGGGTTTCTCCAGGATAGCATCCATGCTCTACCCATCACCCATGTAGGTTCATCTTGGTCTATCCCATAATTAGTATCAAAAATTAGGAAATCTTAATCAATTTTAGAAACTGGATACTTGCTCTCTCTAGAATTTGTTGCTTGATGACTACCCTGAAGCCTATGTCATGTGTGTTTCTGCCCAATAGCTAAATGCTCAACTAATAATTGAGCCGAGATTTCCTTGAATACCTACACTCACACCTTTGCTGAGGGCACTGTTCCTGTTTGGTGATGGTGTCTTCAATACTTGTGCAAGCATTTTACAATTCTGCCTCGATATTCATGTCCTACGGCACAGAGCCTGAACATCAGAGATAAAAACAGGGGCTTTAAAGGGCTTCCCTGGTCATTCCCACAGCCCTACCCATGTACATGACCTTCTATGGTCTCATGAATATATTGGAGTCTTTAAAAGCCTCCTATGGACATATCATGCCTCAGCTTGTCCATCTGCATTTTTTGGTCAGTTGTTGGTTCCAAGAGGTATAATTACCTTAGGAAGCTGAGATGTACAATAATGGTTTATATCACTTTTGACAAGTACACCGGGAGAAAAAGTTGTTGGCATTGGGCAAGCTCTGTGTCATACTAAATAAAAATAATCCCTGGAAGCACAGGCAATTATCAGTTTTAAATAATTTACATTGGTACGGATTCTTGTTATTGGTACAAATGCAAGGTTTTTGCTACTTCTGTTTAAGATTTTTGTACGTGGACTGGAGAGATGGCTCAGCAGAGATGGCTGCTCTTCCAGAGGTCCTGCATTCAATTCCTAGCAACCACAAGATATACTGCCCTCTTCTGGCCTGCAGGAATACATGCGTGCAGATAGAACATGTGTTTCTAATTTTGCTTAAGGTATTACCTATACAGCTTGTTTATTTAAACAATGTGAAGTCCTAGACTTTGTAATGTAGGACAATGAAATACAGGTTTATAGTCACCCATAAATATAAAACATATAGTCATGCTAGTTAGATTTTTCTAGGTATTCAAAGCTATGTCCCAAATTGGTAGTCTTCAAACACTTCAAAGACCTACAGAGCATGGCATTTAAGATGTTTTAATAACTTAGGATTTTTTGACATGAGACAGGTCTGCTCCTGGCAGCACCAATCTACTTCTAAAGAGGATGATGACACCAAAGACATTCCATATGGGGTTTGCTTTCTTTGTGGCACAAATTGGCCTATAGGGCAAGAAACTACAACTTGTCTTCACTGCTGACAGTAAGTACGTTGTCCAATGTCCAACCTGGACAAGCAGGACACCAAGAAAAACAACTGCCAAACTTCGACAAGACAGGGTTGGACAATCCTTCATAATTTCCTGCTTCTGAAAAAGGTCTGTCAGATATAGTAGGCCTGTAGGCTCAAGATAGATGCCCCAACATTACAGAGGAACCTTGGGTGACTGTCCAGGCAGCCAGCTGTTTGTTATTTCTTACATTTATCTGGAAGTTGCTTTGCTCAGTTGCACTTCCTGCCTATCCAGGTAATATTATTTTCTTTCTCAGGTCTTTGATGGGGGTTGAAGACTAGATCATTACAGTTACAGTACTCCCAAATCTTAAAGACATATTAGGCACAAGACTTCAGATTCTTCAGGAGAGAACAGCTATTGGCATAATCTATATATATATCCATATCTATATAATATATATCCATCAATTAGTTATGGTCTGGACATTTAGAATTCATTTCTTACTTGTTTTGTTGTATGTAGTTTCACTTTTGTTAAGGTTAGTACCTTTTCTTCTGAACAATACTTGATAGTAGTTCTTATTGTATATAGTTTTGTTTGTTTTTCAAAACAGGGTTTTTCTGTGGCTTTGGAGGCTGTCCTAGAACTAGTTCTTATAGACCAGGCTGGTCTGGAACTCACAGAGATCCACCTGCCTCTGCCTCCTGAGTGCTGGGATTAAAGGTGTGCGCCACCAATGCCCAGCTTGTATATAGTTTTATTATGTTGCTATTGGAACCTTCCTTCTTAATTAGACAGAAAAGGGGAAATGTTGCAGGGACTCTGTCACTGTTCTGCCGGCCAATTGTGAGTCAAGGGACAGAGTTGCATTGAGGAGTATGTGACCCCAATAAAGGGCACAGGCCTGAGGGTAATGCATTCTCCTGGAAGATAGACGAACTGGCAATGAGCCACTCACAGCCTGGTTGAGGTTCCTCATCCCCCACGGGAATGAGGCAGCAGTGCAGCAGCTGGACCTGCAGTGGTGTAGCAGCTTTGTTCTGTCTTGAGTGTAGTGCTGATTTTGCCTTTGAATAAATTGTGACCCCATCTGATTCCTTCATTACTAAGTGCTGTGGTGTCCAGACATCCTCCTGAGACTTACAGGTATCTAAAACCCAACCTGAGCTAGATGATTAGCAAGGAGTCCTCAGCAAATAGCTTCATCTCAGAGGCTCCTCCAACTCTGCCCTATGCTGGAAACACACACAGCTCTCCAGACAACCACTGGTCTCCCTGACCATTGTACCATATTCAGATGATGCACAAGACACTGGAGAGGAGAGACTGGAGTCTGGCAGCTGACTGTTGCCTGTCGACTTCTGTAATAAACATTTGTTTAGGAAACTATGGTCATATCTGGCCTGGCTCTGTATGGTAGGTGAGCTTAGAGTTATGTTCATCCATTTTCAGAGTTGAGGAAAGGACAAAGAATATGCAACAGAAACTCCACATGGCTCACAGGACCCAGGATATTTGCTTTCTTGCTGTTTACAGGAAAAGTCCTACCTTCTTCTGATGGTGTCATAGACTGAAATAATCAGTGATAGCCAAGGCTAGTCAACACCCACAGTAAAATGACCAAACCCAAGGAAACAAAAACACTTGAAATGTCTATACTTTACTTTAATGCTCCAGGCATTTAAAACATTCATATATTTGCCTTGTTTCAGAGATCATTTCCTCTTAGGTGCGGTTCTATGGATTGGAGGTACATCCACCAACCACTGAATCCTCACGACAGCACCCACATGCCACATGCAACCTACTTTGGCACCTTGTCATCTTTGTTCATGGATCCCCCTCTGCCACACCCACACACAACCACAACTGTTCATCAAAACACCTTATAGCGTCGTTGACACTGGCTGGTTCCATGGTCACAGCCCATTTCCAGTGCTCCCCAATGTTCTGTGCATGTGAGTGTCACCCCAAAGAGCTACAGAAACGCACAGTCAGCTAGTGTGCATGCCAGCTGCTGCTCTCCTGTAGCCCAGAACAGAGGCACTTAAAAATTCTTGGCAAAATGGACTTATAATTGCCATTGAAGTCAAGTGTGAGGGGAGGGGCTTTTCTCCCATAATTAATGAGTAACTCTGATACATATTATTGGACTTATAGATTCATATCTGTTTACATCTGCTATCAAGGACTTAATAAACTGCTTGTGTAAATGAAAGCACATTTGTTTTTCCAGGTGCTTGGATGAGACACAAACTGAGCAACTGCTCGGCCAATACTTATTCTGAGTATTTATGTCAATATATGATTGTTCTTACAGATTTGCTTTCTTCAAAGTGTGTGTGTGTGTGTGTGTGTGTTTGAGCCTTAATCCTTAAGTGATTCTTCCAAAGTAATAAAGTGTTTGTCCTGCTTCCCAAAGTAATGTTTCAAGGCACCTCAAGACATATAGTTACCTGAGGTTCTGATTCAGTTGGCCACAGGTGGGAAGGGCCATCAACTTCTTTTTAACTTCATGGGAGGTTATAGCATGTAGTTGGCATTGAGAACCTTGGGACTAAAGGCCCTCGAGTCTTCTTTCTACTCTCCTTTGTTCTCACAAAAGGCTCTTGAGGTAGCCCCTGGGTCATCGGACATCTCCTCCACAAGATAAGAAGCTAAGGCACAGCGAGGTTATTTGGCTCATGTGACATTGGGCAGTCAGATGACAGAGCCAGGAGTGGAATCAATAGCTCCAAATAAATAACCCCCTCCCCCAGCAATGGGCAGCACTTACACCGACTAACCTCAAAGACTGGCTGGGAAGCCAGGCGTGCCCATCTGTGCCAATGACACCATGGAACAATACAAAATGGTTCAGAGCCAACCTTCCTACTTGGTGAGAAGTAAATGCATAGAATGGTTGACGCAGTGTGAGGAATGAACTCAACCCTCCCCATTTTCCCCTTAGACAGATGTTATGGGTTTGTTATGGTTTATTACAAAACCTGTCAGGATTCATAAAGACTTACTGACATCTGCTTTGTCAACTCTGTCACTATAACAGCCAAACACTTTTGAATGTCCCTGGGATTTGGGTCCAAGAACATACATAGACTGCCTTGCTCTCTCCTTTACTGGCCCACCTAAACTAGCCGTGAACCCAGCACCCTCCACTCTCCCAGTGTGTGCATCTTCCAGGATGTGGCTAATCCCTCTGTTGCCTCAGAAATTCCTCAGTGCTAACCCATCAGCTGTGCTGGGCCTCAAGGACTGACTTAATGTCAAAAGTTTTACTTTGCTCTGGCTGCCAACTTTGTTACCCATATTCTAGGCAACCACTGCACCTTTACCCTCTAATTCCAGATTCCCATGAGTTGGAACATTCTTCAGTTAAACACATTCGGTTTAGCTGGATGCATATAAAAATAATTTCATCATTCCATTCCTCGTCACAAGTTCCCACCTCTCATTCTATCTTCTCCAGCTCTTTTGTAAAAGACCCATTTGACTGCAGAACATACCAAGTAGATGCGCGTGAATAAGCACTTGTATACAGCAGAAAAAACAAAAAACCGCACTATGCTCTGGGAAGAAGGGCAGCTTTCGCTGTGTCTACTGTGGTTTCCAGGACACTCTGTAGAAGGCAAGCCTATGTACTCAGCTCATACTGAATACACACGCTATCTTCCCACTGCTTCAGGAGTGGGCTCCCGAGAAGCCTATAAAATATGAATGGATCTGTTACAAGAAAACCACGTCTCGCAGTGCACTTCTGTTGACACAGGTGGTTGTGCAAAGCTCCAGAAACACTTCTTTTCCACTCAGGCAGGACACACCCTCATGCAGAGGGCATTTCTCCTGCTACCTACGTGCTTAAGCAGACAGGACCCTTTCTGGAATGGAGACTGCCCCTCCAGGCCCTTGGAGGCAAGGAGGACAGATATGGGGAGAGCTATGAGGTGAGGAGGAGAATGGCGAATGGAATTCTACCTTCCCTGACTCCCAGAGAGGATTGCTACAAAGGTTCAAAGGTGAGGAAGGAAAGAGGAACTGCAAAGCTGCATTCAAAATTCTGATTAAATCAAAGACAAACTGAGGCTCATGAGACTTCAGAGACTCCCGCCCACCCACACCATTAAGTAAAGTCAGATACCATGTTTTCTCTTTTCTCTCTTTCTCTCTCATGCTTATTTGATGCTTGCAGATTTATCAGGCCTGCTGCTTTTGCTTCTAAAACATGCAGTGAGCAAAATACACTGTTTGGTGCCCATAGGACCCCTGGCAAATGCTCGCTCATAAGCCACCAGGAAGGTGACAAGCAAGAGGCCTTCACTGACAGGCCTGTGCACAGCCTGGACTGTGCTACATGCTTGTCCAGAGTTTAGTGGGACATAGTGTCGCGAGGGGATGTGCAGGGAGCATGTGGCAACCTCCAAAATGCTCTAAGGTCCAGTCTGTGTCCAGCGAGGCTGCACTGGACACAGAGCTAAGGCACTAACGCTGCAGCAGGTGGGATGACACCACTCAGAGATCTCTGGGCTGCATCCTGGGGAGGAATCTCGGCTACCTGTGCCACCCAAGGCCAGAGACTGCTCAAGGGCTGAGATACACCAAATCCCTGGCTCTGGCCCTTTAGAAAAGTGTTCGGTTCTCCCTCTCGGTGACTGGCGTCAGTTTCCTAAGGTCTCCGTAGCACTGGAGACAGGACCACCTGGTCTCCCGCAGCTGCCTTCTCTTCACACACTCTGCCTGCACATCTGTTCCCAGCATGCCGTGAGGAGGAGCAGTCCAGTCATCTCACGCTCCTCTGGAGCAGGGTTCCATACATTTCCCAAGGTGGCTCTGTACCTTCCTGTCCTTCACAGCTTGATGAACTCAGCGGGCTGCGGCACCTGCTCTGTGTCCGGGGGTGGGAAGACACTGGATATGGCTATGTCCACAATTCCTTGGCACAGTTCTGCATAGAGCTTCCTGAAATAAAATTTTAAAGATATCACTGAGCGTGTTTATTCAAGTGCAAGAGAAAAATCAAACCTGGGTGTGTGTTGGGGGAAGGGACATGAATTTCAGTGAGGATCTGCTCTAGAAATGCCATTGCATGGCCTTTGTAAAACCTGTCTCTGTAGATAAAGTACCAACAAGAGGCTCTGCACACAGATAAAACGTGCAGGGCAGTATTTAAGTATTTTAAAACAGCCTTGATGGGAACAAAATAAACAATTCCTGCTGACAGGCAGAGAAGGCGATTTCAGTAGTGTTATGAGCCCTAACCCGCCTGCCTGTGAGGGAGTACATGGAGGGGTAGGCGTTATCCAGGAAAACCCCAACTTCTAAGGGAGAAGGGACACTCGTGAAGACTGTGGGGCTGACAGTTAAGATGGGACCGAGGAGACAGAGAGAAGTCAAAGAATGGATGACAGCTTAGGAAAGCAGGGGAGGAAGAAGGAAAAGAGGTAGTGGGGTCTGTAAGGGGAGGAGGTGAGTGAGTGTGAGTGCAGGGGTGAGAAGGGAGGAGGTGAGTGAGTGTTGTGCTGGGGTGAGAAGGGAGGAGGTGAGTGAGTGTGAGTGCTGGGGTGAGAGAGGAGGAGGTGAGTGAGTGTGTGTGCTGGAGTGAGAGGGGAGGAGGTGAGTGAGTGTGAGTGCAGGGGTGAGAAGGGAGGAGGTGAGTGAGTGTTGTGCTGGGGTGAGAAGGGAGGAGGTGAGTGAGTGTGAGTGCTGGGGTGAGAGAGGAGGAGGTGAGTGAGTGTGTGTGTGCTGGGGTGAGAGAGGAGGAGGTGAGTGAGTGTGTGTGCTGGAGTGAGAGGGGAGGAGGGGAGTGAGGGTGTGTGCTGGGGTGAGAGAGGAGGAGGAGAGTGAGTGTGAGTGCGGGCCGTGAGAGAGGAGGAGGTGAGTGAGTGTGAGTGCTGGGGTGAGAGGAGGAGGTGAGTGAGTGTGTGTGCTGGGGTGAGAGAGGAGGAGGTGAGTGAGTGTGAGTGCGGGCCGTGAGAGAGGAGGAGGTGAGTGAGTGTGAGTGCTGGGGTGAGAGGGGAGGAGGTGAGTGAGTGTGTGCTGGGGTGAGAGGGGAGGAGGTGAGTGAGTGTGTGCTGGGGTGAGAGGAGGAGGTGAGTGAGTGTGTGTGCTGGGGTGAGAGAGGAGGAGGCGAGTGAGGGTGGGGGCGGGCCCTGAGAGAGGGGGGGGGGGATGGGTGAGTGAGTGTGAGTGCGGGCCGTGAGAGAAGTCCGTGTGAAGGGAACACAGCCTATGCCAACCAGACAGAAGTGAGGTAAGCGGGAGACATGGAAATGGGAAGCAGAGCAGTGTGCTGTAGACTGTCCGAGGCCCAAGGCAGTAGGTGCAGCGTGTTTAACCTCCTCCAGTAGCAACAAAACCCATTACCTTGTTTCCTTTGCTGTGGTTCCAATCAGTACACTGGAGTTTTCCCTCCAGTGCTGCTGACCAGTAACAACCACAACTTGCTCAGGAGGTGTTAGGAATCTAAGTGGCCAAATCCAAGGACAGGAGTCCAGACCAGCCTGCCCAGGAAGGTCTTAACCATTCTACTTCCCAGAAGATGCTGTGTCCCACCAGCTAGGAGGAGGTCCTCTTCCGCCATGCCCATTGCACAATGACATGCCCACCCAGCAGCCTCCCCCATCACAGAACTTCCCTTCTCTATGCCCTAGGCTGCTGGGTCTGCATTTCACCCCGTTATAAGACCTCTGGGAAGCCATGCTTCCTTCCATTTTCTCTTAGGAAGTCCTAACTGCTGGCTGGCCTTCATCTGTCCTGCTCTTTCCTCTCTCTCCACTCCCAAATCCCCCGCTCACTCCTCTCTGTTTACACAATCAAGCCCCAATTTTCAACAGTCTAGTGGTCATTATTCATGCTCCCATTTCTGAAGGGACAGAAACACAGAAGCCCTTCAGTGAATGGCATTAGTTCACCAAGAACCACAAGCTATAAAAATATGACATGCTGGAGCAAAGGAATGATACACAGACCAGTTTCAAGGTGGCCAGGCCAACTTGTATCTTAAACATTGGTGACACAGGAAGATTTAATGTGGCATGGGCATCTCACAGCCACCAGGCCCTCATCACTGGAAGCCCAACCCTTAGGGGATCCACACATAAAATCATGTCACTAGAAGAATGTGGGTTGGCATGTAAGGTTGGACATAATATAAAGAAATCGTTTGCATCTAAGCTTTGCAGTTACTAGCTAATAGACAATAGAAAGACATCTCTATTTCGATAAAATCCAAGTGATTGTAAATCAGGTGAAGCTGGTGAGACACCCAGTGGGAAAAGGCATGAGTGTGACAATCTGAGCTCAGGCCCCAGAACCCATGTAGAGGCAGAAGAGAGGACTGACTCTACAAGGTTACCCTCTGATCTGCACACACGCTGTGGAACATGTGTCCCTGTACACACTCACACACACACAATAATAATACAGAAAGAGAAAAAAAAAAAGTCAAGGAAAACACTATTAACCAGGAAGTATGGTTTGCTCATTCCAAGAATATGGACAGAGAACTGTGTGGCAGGCACAGGACCAGGCTCAAAGACTCTAAAGTGACCAAGAAAAAAAAAAAAAAGCTGGAGACATCCAGTGTGAACATTCCATATTTTAAAAACAAAACAAACAAAAAAACTAGCTGTTTGATAGCAACTAATGCAATGGAAGAAATACCAAGGCTCTGGATAGAGAAAAAGGGAGCCTTGGTGAAGGAGGCAGGGACTCCACAGAAAGCAAAGACCACTTGGCTGGTAAGAGTGGCCCCGGGGAGTGGTATCTTTGGTTGAGCTGTAGAGGCAGGCAAGACAGAAGCCTCGTGGGCAGAAGTGGGAGTATGGCTTCTCTTTTCTCACTCAGGCAGCTCTGGGAAGGAAGGATTTTATGGGGGCAGTGCAGAAATAGAAATTCTGGTAAGGAGGCTCTTTGCAAAACTTCCCCCAGTGATAGAATATGACTGAGGAACAGGAGGCTGGAGGCAGAGTCTACAGGACCCGTGGATTGAGGGGATGGGAGCAGAAAGCAAGCTCTCTGCCAGTTCCTGGGGAGGGCGGCTCCTCCCTTCCCCCAGCCACTGAAAACTCTGGAGAGAAGGACGAGGGGTGGTGCTTCCTATTAGACCCACAGCCATCCTCACAGGATCCGGGGAAGGCAGGTACACACATGGGTCTAGAATTCAGGAGCTGCATTGACTTAGTGGCTTTATTATGAAGCTTAAAAAGAACGCATACAGGGGAAGTAGAGCAGAGAGCCAAAGGCCACTCAGAGACAGAACCTGGAGTCCTTGGTGAGGAAGAGAGAGTCCAGCTTGCTTGCAGCCTCTTACTCAGTCCCATCCAGAATACAGGAAACAGAAGCCTCAGAGAAGAAAGATTCACCAAGAGGGAGGCAGCTGCCTCCAAAGCTGCCACAGGGAAATGAGGACATAAAGGAACTGTCAGGTACTAAAGATAGGTTTGTCATTTCAAAGGATGCTTCTTGGAGGAAGATCAGGCAGCTCCCGAAAACGCTGTTGTCCAAAGATTGATCCATGAAGAGGGCGGGATGGGGGAAGGGGTGCACTCACTGGAGTAGGGGTGGCTTCATGGAGAAGCAGCTGGAAAATGGATGCAGGCATGTGGTGATGGGAGCCCCACAGGCACGAGAGAGAGAGAGAGAGAGAGAGAGAGAGAGAGAGAGAGAGAGAGAGAGAGAAAAAGAGAGAGAGAGAGAGGGAAATGAAGACGGCGGGAAGACATCAGGAGGGAGGACTGGAATGGGTCTTTGATAGAAGGGGCAGGAGGAAACACTGGACACAAGGCTGTCCATCATGAAGGGAGACTTAATCTCCACCCTCAGCATCTCTTGCTGGTACTCCTCCAGGTCAGCTCCACCATCACCCTGAGAGGCCTTGCGTTAAGTCACATCCCCTTTGACGTTCTTCTCTGCTAGAAAGCTTATCTCCGTCTGTAACCATATTCGTCCAGTCCCTTCCCTTCCCCACATCCACTGTGGGACCTGGAAGCTTCGGCAGAGCCTAACAGGCACCTGTTGGCTGCAGGGTCTGAAAAATGCAAGTGCATCGTCTACTCCAGCCCCCAGAGGCCTGGCCTTTAAACTATCATGTGTTCACACTGTCCCCTGTGGGTGGGGCTTTCTCTTAAACCACAGGACAATCACTGCAGCTTCTCCAAGAGGCAGATATGAGATCCACCCTCTTGACATGATGCAAGTACATCTTCAGACCATCAAACCAAAAAGGAGTTATCCCCTCGTGGCTTGCCTGTACATCAAGACCCGCCACAGAAATCCCAGCTCACTCTACCATCCTTTCGTACTTTCTACACACTAACACCAAGCAGGATAAAAGACCCTGCAGGATGTCATCCTGCTTCCGAGGCCAGGCTCTCCTCAGCTGAGCATCTAAACTTGCATACAACCCAGCACAAAGCAAGGTCCCCGTGTACAGTCTCCCACTGTGCAGCTGAGCCCCATTGCCTTACACCCTAGCTCAGGCTCTACTGTGTCACCTCCTGCCTGGGAAGCCCTTGAATCTCACTGTCTCTCTTACTCACAGGATCCAGCTTATTCAACTTGTCATGTGAACATGCCAGTGGCAAGGTTTCTCTCACAGTTTGGGGTGGGGGGTTGTTTCTGTTGTTATTTGGAGGCAGGATCTCACTCTATAGCCCAGGGCATCCTGGGATTTACTGTGTAACCCAGGATGGCCTTGAACCCATAGCCTCTCTGGTGCTGAGATTACAGGCCTAACCCAGCATAACTAGCTTAGTCTTCTTTGAAACCCTGGTGGCATAAACATACAGGGAATTGGCTCCGCTAAGCCCTCCTGCCAGCCAGGGTCTCCTAAGGACTCCCCTCGAGGTGACAGCTATCCTGACAGCAGTCAAAGGGTCCATGCTTGAGCCTGTCACATTACCCAAGGTGTGCATCCAACTTCCAGTTACTCAACACAGGCGGGTTCAGGCTTATTGAACAGTCACACTACCTAAGGTGCACATCCAACTCCCAGTTATTCACACAGGCGGGTTCAGGCTTACTGAGCACACGCAGGGGCGCCGTTGACCTCAATGAGCCAGACCCTCAGCTCCTCGTCCACCATGAAGTCGAAGCCAAAGAGCTGGAAGCTCTGGTAAGGGAGGTACCTGGTGCTGATGGCAGGCTCCACACTCAAGAGGCAGCTCCTGTGAAGTAAACAGGGGAGAGCTCACTGAGAATGGAGTGGTAGGGGCAGAAGGAACACATAGACAATGCCTGGAAGATCTTATACCAAGTGTGCATAAAAATCAGTTTCAACTTACTTATCTTTTTCAGTGGATAAATTCACAAACAGATTACTCAAGAGAAGGCTACTTCCCAAACAACTGGTGAGGGACAAATGCATCAATCCTGTTCTTCCAGGTCAGAGCTGCCAGCTCAGCCCCAGGTCACCATGCATCTCCATCAGTGCAGACGTCACTGGCTATTCCCATAGTTGTTTATGAGAATCACCATGGGGCAGTGAGCCCCAGACTCTTGCCTGCCTCTGCCTCCCCCGTGCTGGAGTTTGAAGCCACTATACCAGGCTCTAAACCTGGGTGCTGGGGATGGAACTCAGGTCTTCACGCTTGCACAGCGATGACTTGACCAGCTGAGCCAGCTCCCCAGACCACATCCCTGCACTTTGCCATGTGAAAAGTAGACCAATACTTGGTAAAGTAGGAGTTGCAGAGAATCCAGGCAGCATTGATTCTCTTGCTAGCTCTAGAGATCTACTGCCAACTACTGCTAGTTGAACATTTAAGATTACAAGTATTCAAGCTAAATATTGAAATCTATCATGGAATTCTTATTACTACCAACTGCTTTGCTTTGTTGTTGTTTTGTTTTTTGTTTTTTGAGACAGGGTTTCCTTGTGTAGCCCTGACTGTCCTGGAACTCACTCTGTAGACCAGGCTGGCCTCGAACTCACAAAGATCCTCCTGCCTCTTCCTCCCGAGAGCTGGGATTAAAGGTGTGTGCCACCTTCCCTGGCTAAATGTGTAGCCCAGGCTGCCCTCAAGCTTGTGATTCTCCTGCCTCCACCTCTTTTAGCAAATCCTACCAGCAAGCACCACCACAGCCGGCTCTAGGTGTCCATTAATAAACACTGCTCTTAGGAACTAGCATGTCTTGATTTTTCACCATTGATGCCAATGAACACACAGGTATTACTCAGGAATTAAAAGACAAAACAACAACAAAAATTTTGGTAAGCATGGTCAAATTATGTTAAAAGCAGGTGTGAAAGTGACACTGTATAGTATTTGTGCCACCGCTACCTGTTACTAACCTGTGCCTACTGGAACACAGTGTAATCCTGGCACTCAAGAGGCTGAGGCAGGAGGATCTCGAATTCAAGAACAGCCTGGATTACATAAACTTTGTCTCAAAACTAACAATGGGCTGGAGAGATGGCTCAGCAGGTAAGAGCACTGGCTCCTCCTCCAGAGAACCCAGGTACAGTTCCCAACACCCACACCGGGGCAGCTCACAACCACCTATAACTCCAGATCCAAGAGATCTGATGCCCTATTCTGGCCTTATCCAGCAACTGCACACACACAGTACGGCATACACATACAGACACAAGGATAGACACATTTTTTAAAAAATGTTAAAACAAACAAACACAAAACTCACAAACAATATCAGGAAGGGAGGAGGGAGGGAAAAAAGCAATCTATTAAACATTTTAAAGCATTTTCTCTATGAAAGAATGCATTTAAGTGAGTGGTTTTGGACACAGAGTTTCATTGTGTCTCCCTGGTTGCCTGGAACCCTCTATTTAGACCACCTTGGCTTCAAATTCATAGAGATCCACCTGCCTTTGCTGGGATTAAAGAACTGTCCAAGAATGAAGTCATGTGAGGAGGATTCTGGGTGCTTGTAAGAAAACAAGTCCTATGTTCTCAGTTTATTCACGACACGGAGTTATTCTTGGAATGTGTTTCCATGCTCCTCCCAGTTGGAACAGACAGAAGTGAGTTTATTTCAGCTTATTCACTTAAAACTGGCTATTGCTATTTGTTTATATGCCTCTATAGAAAAACATGTTTTGCCACATGTGGCTTATCCTGTGATTGTACACTTTACTCAGGTGACTCGTCTTAACCCTCAGAGTATAAGCTGTCTAAATAAAGTTGGCGACTGTACGAGACATTAGTCTGTCCATTGATGACTCCCTTCTCCCAGGTCCCACAGTCCCAAGAGTGGTAAGCACACCACCATGGATTATTTAAAAGTGTTTTAATTAAAATATATTTAAAATATTATAATTAAGAAAAAGTAAGCAGTTTAATGAAAGAGGGCAACAAAAGAAAAGGATAAAAACACAGGCACTGCAATCGGGCACACAAAACTAAACTTTTTATCTGCCAAGAGGTTAGGATGAATAATTCCCAGTAAAGTGTTTTTCATCATTAGAGACTGCAGGCAGTGAACCTTTTTTAGCTGTAGTAGGAGTCAAAAGGGGGTTGGCTGGGGAAAAAGAAAAGCTGAGAGCCTTGAGCAACGTTCAGGAACAGCACCCCTGCACTGCAGGGAGTGACTACCAGGGAGCGAGGAAGCACCCAACAAACAGCGTCTGAAGTTGGGGTTCCTTCTGCATATTTTATTCTCTCATTGTAAAAATTCTAACCATCTCCAACCTATGACTACCAGAGAACTTGACATGTAATAATTCCAGACAAAGGATAGGCCTAAGAAATAAGAAAAACAAAATGAAAGGTGAACAAAACTAAAATATAAGGAATAAAACACAGATGTCTGTCAACTGCTGAAGGGATAAACTTTGGAATGTCACACAACGGAATAATACACAGTAACAAAAAAGGAAAAAAAAAACTACTGCTGTGTAGATAAATATAGTGACATAATGTTGACAAGAATTGAACTCAAAACAGGAACCACAGTGCTTCCATTACACCGTTTAAGACAAGCAGACACGGCTCTGTAGGGATAAAGATGGAAAGGGAAGACCACCTTGGTCAAGGACTCTTATTCTAAGGGAGTTAAAAGGAGTCACTGGGGATGCTGAATCTATTTTATTTCTTTCTATGTATTTATTTGTTTATTTGTTTTGGAGGCAGGGTCTCATTATATAGCCCAGACTAGCCTGGAGCCCCCAATCCTGCTGCTTTAGTCTACCAGGTGCTGGGATCAAAGGAGTGTGCCTACTAGAAATATTTTATATCATGATCTGTATGATCATGGTTAGTTGAGTATGAATGAACTCACTGAAACACACTTTGGGGTTCACACTTCATCTTTTAAAATTACTAGGTTTTGTAACCTATAATAAAGAATACTAACACTAAAAACACACCTTCTAGGTATACTAAGAAATGAGTCAAGAGGGGGAAAAATGTTAGAAATAAGTCAGGAGCAGTAAATACAGATACATGGTATACTACTAAATACAAGATATGCAGACAGGATCCCTACAGCTAGTGTCTAACTAGAGGAGATGAAATCAGTGAGCTCCGGGTTCAATTGCTTCAATATTTAAGGTGCAGACTGACCCCTACCCACACAAGCACACATGTGAAGCCACACATCTGAACAGGTACCTACACATACACATGTGAACACACATGCAGACACACAAAGTACACATATCTACACCTGCAAAAATAAAATAAATAAATAAAATAAAAGTGAAACCATACAATGTCTCTATGGGATTATGGAAGAATCCATAAACACCTGGATAATAAGCAAGAATGTTTATATCACACAAGGCAGGGTATAAGCAATAGGGAAAATAAAAAAATTGATATGATAAAAATATAAACACAATGTCATATAATCTCTGGGATGCAGAAGAAATATACAGATATTGAATGATATGTTGTTACAAATGTTTGTCTTTTTTTTTTTTTTAAGATTACTTATTTATTTATTATGTATACAACATTCGGCTTCTGTGTATATCTGCACACCAGAAGAGGGCACCAGATCTCATAATGGATGGTTGTGAGCCACCATGTGTTGCTGGGAATTGAACTTAGGACCTCTGGAAGAGCAGTCAGTGCTCTTCACCTCTGAGCCATCTCTACAGCCCATGTTTGTCTTTTTAAACCAAAACATCTCAAATCAATTATTTAGCCTTTCACCTTGAATAACTAGTAAACAAAAAAACAAATTAAATTTCCCAAAGAGCAGACAAGATAACAACAACAAAAAAAAAACAGAAAAGACAGTTAATAAGGCCCAAAATTGATTTTAAAAAAAGATTTAATCCATCCAAGTAAACTAGTGAGAAGATAAAAATTATCAATACCTAGAACTAATGAAGTGACATCATCACAGATAGATTCTACAGACGTTAAAAGGAAAATTACAAATGGTTTCTGCCTGTCAATTAGATAGCGTAAGTGGGAAAAATCCCTTAAAAAGCATAAATACCCAAAGTTCTGGCAAGAAGAAACAGATAAATCAAAAAGGGTCAATGAACTTACCTTATTATGTGTTTGATTTGCGTCAAAATGCCGCTTTCTAAGGTGATATTCAGAGCGCTGCTTAGGTACTGGTTGAACTCCTCGAAGAACATTTCATTCCCCTCTTCGTATTTCCCATAGTTCTTTGAGAACTCTTTCTGAATGCAATGGTTGGTCAAATGGCAGGTCTTATCTTGGAAATTATCTACATGATACGGTTCTGAAGCTGTTCGAAGCACACCCTCTCTATAGAGGTAGATGTTATACTGATGGTCAACCAGGACCCAGCTTCTGCAAGCCAACAAACACAGTTTTAGTCAGATCCCAAGGCTTTAATACATAACCTCCACACCTTGATTTATTATTATTATTATTATTATTATTATTATTATTAATTTTTGAAATTGAGTCCTCTGTGAAGTCCCAGCTGGCTTGGAAACCTCCTTTTAAGATATTTGCTTGCTTCTACTTCCTGTGCTGCGATTAAATGTGTATGCAACCACCTGGCACACACCTTGCATTTTTGCAGGGATGAGACAGTGAAAAGGAGAAGGTTCTAAAGTTATACAAGGCAAATCATGAGTTATCCAAAATAGTGGATTAGCACCATAATGGGGCAAATGAAGTATGTCACCACAAGTAACGAGAAGCTTGAGTCCCTTTTAGAAATAGACAGTCTTGAAGGCTATGCATGTGTTTGAGGTTAACCAAATCTGGATATGTATATATACATATGTTTGTGTGACATATGTGTGACTGTACTATATCTTGACTGATAACATTTTCTAGACAGAAGAACTCAAACAGCAGCAATGAAGATGAGAAGCTCAGCTGTACTGTGTGGTAACATGCTGGATACAATATTCCATGGAAGTCACATCATCTTCTCACAGAGCCCTAACACATTCTAAAATGATGGCTGAGATCAAGGCTGTGGGCAGCAAACATTACCGAATGTCAAACTTTCGGTGACCAGGCTCAAGGAGCAGAGGGCGCTCGAGGTATTTCTGGATCACGTGTACTTGACCCTGGTTGTCTATGAAATCCAGAAGTTCCGACGCCTCCGAGGAGATGAGGATGCCTTCACCTGACAGAAAGAAAGTGACACGGAGACCAGCTCATTCCAAGAGGAGCAGCTCCCGACCAAAGCCAGAGGAAACCACAAAATCCATAGGAGGGTTTCACTGGCCTGTTCCTGGACCACTCTCTTTCCTTCCCCACCCCCTCCCACTGTCTCTCATGCTCTCCTCTCTCCCTGCCAAGAGCATCCAGGGTCGTCCCATTAACTTTCCCTACATAGTGCTCTCAATACTAACTTGGCAGGCCATGAATTTCAGGTTTTAAAACATATTCTAATTATTTTTTGTGCGTATATGTATATGCCATAAGTTGGTTTTCTCCTTCCACCTTGTGGGTCCTGGAGATTGAACTCAGGTTGCCAAGTTTGGCAGCAAGTGCCTACTGACTAACCATCTCTCTGGCTGGAAATTTCAGTTTTATATATACAGTTTCTGAGTCACTTAAGATACCACTGTCACTGGTTACTGGTTATAATAAGGATTATGGTCTGTGATCACCAAATTCACTTCAAAGATGATGCCCTATAGAAATGCCAAGAAAGTGAGGATACCAGAGCACAAAGGATAGGGCACAGACGTAAGGTAGTGTTGTCCTGCAGTACAACAGAGAAGACCAAAGGCATGGAAACCATCCATCAATTACAACAAGAGACACGGCCTTTAACAATTTACTGAGATACAATACCCTAGAAAATCCAACTTTGTAAAGCATGCTATTCAATGGTTTTTAGCATATTCAGGAGTTCAACTGTCTTTAGAATCTATTTTTAGAACATTTTCATCATCTCCCCCTAAAATCTGTAGCCATCACTCCTTCACCCCAGCCCCTCACAACTACAACCCACTGTCTCTATGGACCTGCATCCCAACATCTTTCATATGAACTGCATCGCACAGTAAGTACATAGCTCACAACTACAACCACTGTCTCTATGGACCTGCATCCCTGCACATTTTATATGAACTCCATCATACAGTACAAGGCCACTTGTGTGTTCATGGTATAACACGTTTTCAAAAAAGTTTCACAGAGAAAGATTTATTTTGATGAGGTTTAGTTTCTCAGGTCTTGATCTTACGGTTTAACACTATCAGTATCATGTTTAAAGATTCTTTTTGTTTGCTTGTTTTTTTTTTTTTTAAGAGACAGGGTTTCTCTGTGTAGCTTTGGAGCCTGTCCCGGAACTTACTCTGTAGACGAGGCTGGCCTTGAACTCACAGAGACCCGCCTGTTTCTGCCTCCCAAGTGCTGGGATTAAAGGTGTGCGCCACCAGCTCTCGGCTATGTTTAGTTTTACCTTTTACAGGAACTGTGAACTAGGTTTGACTTGATGTATTATGATGTTGAATATGTACTGCATATAGCACCGATTCTTGAAATGTTTATCCTTTGTTTGCATGTATATGAGTGTACATAGTGTGTGTGTGTGTGTGTGTGTGTGTGTGTGTGTGTGTGTGTGTGTTAATGCTTCCATATGTGCGGGTACACACGTACATGCCACTATACACACTATGCACACGTGTGCAGGGCCCCCAGGTTGATGCTGGATGTCTTTCTTAAAGTGCTCTTTTCAACCTTAAATATTTAGACAGGGTCTCTTGCTGAAACCAGAGCCTGCCATTTCGGCTAGTCCGGCTAGCCAGCTTGCTCCAGTTCCCACTTCCATCTACACAGTCCAGAATCCCTGCCCAGGGAGTGGGCCCACCCACAAGTGAGATGGATGGGTCTTCTCACTTCAGATAATGTATTCAAGATAATCCCCCTGCACAGGGTGCCCATGGGCACGGCTCCCAGGTGATTCTAGAGCTCATCAAACTGACAACCGTCAATAAAAGAAAGGTGGGGCAGGGGTAGCTCACATGGGTATAGCACATGGTATGCAAATATGAGGCCAGAGTGCAGGTCCCCGGAACCCAGGTAAAAGCCAGACGGGCATGGCTGCTCTCTTGTAATCTTGGTGCCTGGGGGGCAGTAGCATGGCTCCCTGGAGCAAGCTCTCTTTTTCAGACTGCAGACACACTATGACCAGCTGCTTCAAGCTCCTGTGTCCTCACTTCCTGGCCACAATGGATGGTGCCTTGGATTGTGGGCTAAAAGGCGCCCTTCCTTCTTTCAGATGCAGTGACAGGATGTTTTATCACAGTAACAAGAGAAGAAAGGAAAACAGATGCCTTTGGTATCTGTCAAAAGTCATTTGGACCCATTTTTGAGTCCTGCTTTGTGGATTCACACTTCTGTCCTGCTGCCACGCTGCAGTGTCCTGGGCACTACAGTGATACATTATGCCTTAATCTTACCTGGTGAGTAGGGTGAATGATTCTCCTATATCTTTTTAAAGATCACTGAACATACTCTATAGCCTGTGCTTTTCCATATACATTTCAGAAGCTATAGGAAAACCTTGCTGAGCTCTTAATTGGAATCACAGTAAACCTGCAGACCAGCGTTGGTGAACTGGCATGCTTCTTCCACCAAGTTCAATGGTCTGCGGGCACAGCCTGTCTCCACTTCACAGGTTTTGTTTTGGTGTTTGGTTTTTTGAGACAGGGTTTCTCTGTGGCTTTGGAGGCTGTCCTGGAACTAGCTCTTATAGACCAGGCTGTTCTCGAACTCACAGAGATCCACCTGCCTCTGCCTCCCGAGTGCTGGGATTATTGGTGTGGACCACCACCGCCCAGCTCACTCCGAAGGTTTTAAGCCTGAGTTGATATTATGAGCCTCATCCCTTTCTAGGCATCCATTCCACACCTGTATTGAGTGCCTGTGTGGAGGATACAGAAGCAAACAAGACATAAATCTGCATTTACATGGGGCTTATAATGTGTCAAGGACATGGCTAGATGTGATACAGTCCTGGGAAGACACTAGCACATGCAGGCTAAAGACACAGAAAGCAATGGCTGTGGGGGACACTGTAGGCTAGAAGAGCCTTCTCCAACAAGGCAATGTCTGGGCTGATGGAGACATATTCCAGGTATAGAGGCAAATTTATCTGTGAGGGATCCAAGGCAGTCTTTGTGTCTACAGCTCAGTGAGCAAAACCAAGAATAGAGGATGACATCAGAGACACCAGGAAGTATCTGATGGGGTGGGCTCCCACCAGGACTCTGGAGCCATCCTAAATGCATTAGGAAGTAACATGATCAGATTTGTGTTTTTAAATCATCACTCTGTCTGGCAAGATAAGAGCTGGCTGAGGGTCACATTGCAGCAACTGGCTAGAGAGAATGGTGGCTTTGACTCTGAGTGGTAGCGGTAGAAATCAGAAGAACCTAATCCTGGATGTATTTTGAAGGTATTTGAAGCCCTGGCATGCCATTACTGCACTTGATAGAGATTGTAAAGAAGAGGAGGGATCTGAGGTTTGGGGCTTCAGAGACTGGGATCATACACTACATAGGAAATGTGAAGGAGCAGGCTGAGATGGACAAGCTGGGAAGAATATGAAAGTTCTGTGTCAGTTTCAAAGGCCTCTCAGAGACAGTGAGGGAGGGCACCACCAAACCCAGAGCTTAAAGTGAGGACTCCGGCCATCAGCATTCAGGAGGCTACAGAAATATTTAAAGGGCTGTGGACAAAGTTCAGTAGAGTATTTGCCCAGCATACATAAAGCCCCAGGTTCTATTCCCAGGGCCCAATAGAACCAAGCCTGGGAGTGCATGCCTATAATCCTAGTACTCAGGATCAGGAGTTTCTGGTTATTTTTGGCCACTTAGAGAGTTCGAGGCCAGCTACATGAGATCCTATCTCAAAAATATTTCTTTTTCCAGAAACAAACTGGACATTGTCTTGTGGTTGTGATGATTCTGAATGGAGTCATTTATCTCAATACATCAGTTAGGGCCTGTGAAATGGCCCAATGGGTGAGGGCACTTGCTGTTAACCCTAACAATCAAAATTCAGTTCCTGGGACTCACGTGGTGGAAGCAGAACCAGCTCCTGAAGGATCTGCTCTGACCTTCACTGTGCTTCTCTCAAAACAAAGAAAGAAATACATCCTTAATAGCCAGTATGCCACTGCATGATGCTGAAGAGGACCCCACAAGTGACAGAGGGCGGCAATGGTAACTTACCCTTGGCACCAGCTGATGACTTTGCAATCCAAACGTTGCCTTCCCCATCCTCTTTCTTTCTGTTGTAAGAAGCCAGGAAGAATTCTCTCTCATCCGTCCTGGAGTTACTGACCGGAAGCTGGATGCCATTCTGGGCTGGAGCGACTGGTGTCTTGAGGTTAGTTGGATAAATCACATATGACTCTGGGAACCATGTGCAGGACTCAGACAGCTCAGGACTGGTCTTGACTAGCCTGGCAGATGACAGAGGGTCAATTTCTGTGCCCAGGGAGTGGCCACCTCGCTCAGAAAGGCTGCTGCTTTCCCCCAAAGCTTTTCCAGAAGCCAACACCCTGTCTGGTTTCTTCTCTATTCACTCTTAGGCTGGAAGGACAGACCTTCAATGTATTACCCTATCTGGTGTGGCTCCAAAGCCATGTGCTGGTTAAATGCTCATGGTGGCCTGGGAGTGTGGGGCCCTAGATCCAATCCTCAGAACCACAGACACCAGACTGGGTGATGAGTGCCTATAACCCTAGTATTTGAGGGGTGCAAGAAGGAAGGACAGACATTCAAGGTCTGGGGACCATCATGAACTACTAGAGACCCTGGCTCAAGTCATATGGACAACAAAACCCCACAAGGCTCAGAATTGAACTCTTTTTAAATGTATCTCTATAAAAACTCAGCACAACCCTAAACTGACACCATTCGAGCAGTATGTTGTACTAGATAGATCCAAATAAAATGAGAACAGGTCTTCAATCCTGGCATTTCAGGTAGATCTCTAGAGTACAAAGCCAACCTGGTCTACATCAGAAAAAAAAAAAAAAGTGAGAAGAGAAAAAAAAATGTTTGAATAACTTGCAAAAATACTATCTTGGTGCAGTTGGAGAAAAATCCAGGGGAGATAAACTACTTAATCTACTTGACTACTCAGTCTAAATCATTCAAACACTATTTTTTTAAGTCCTTTATTTCTTGCCTTTAGCTTCGGCTGTTATTCTGTCAGAATAAAGAAGGAATCCTTCTGATGGGACACAGGACAGGAGCAAACCTAAGGAAATGCCTTCTGCTCCCAGAATGACATAACACCATAGACAATAGAGTCAGGCCCTGGGCAAGGCACATAAATGCCAGGGCTTCCCACCACTCCAGCTCTCCTGTCACTCCCAGAGCTGGGGCTTCAAGAACCTGTTTCACAAATGAAGAACTGAGTCGCAGAGATGTAAAGGTCCACCCAGGATGCAAACTCCAAACTCCCAAGTCCTAACTCTTATGTTAACCCTATCCCCAGGAACTGGAGTCATTGAGGTCTAGCAAGGACAAGCACAGGGCCACCCTGTAGCTGTATGTCCTCGTCTGTCTAGAACAGAACTGCTCATGTGAGTTCTATATCAAGATTCGCCTACAAAACTCAGTCTGAGCAAACATCAAAAACAACACCATTTTAAATTAAGATTTAAAATAAAATGGCTGGGGAGATAGCTCTATGGGTAAAGGGCTTGTTGTGCAGACATGAGAGCCGACTTAATCTCCAGTCCCACAGAGAAGGCAGTGTGCTATGACGTGCTCTTGTAATCCCAGCGCTGGGGGAGTGGGAGACACAGAGATCCATGAGACTTGTTGGCCAGCTTAGCCTACTGTCTCAAGACATTTTTGGTTTTTCAATACAGGGTTTCTTTATGTATCCCTGACTATCCTGGAACTAGCTCTGTAGACCAGACTGGCCTCAAACTTGCAGAGATCTGCCTGCCTCTGCCTCCCGAGTGCTGGGATTAAAGGCCTGTGTCACCTTGCCTGTCCAAAATAACAAACAAATAAAACAAACAAACAAACAAACAAATAAGGTGGATAGTTACTTAAGAATGACACCCAAGGCCTGAGGTTATTCTCTGGCCTCCATATACATGGTTATCTGCACATTCCCAACTACATGTGTGTACACACTCATATACTGCCCCCCCAACACAGATTTTAAAAAATAAAGCCACTTTAGCAACAAACAGGATTTGAAAGTTTCTTCAACCCAAAGAGACTAAGAAATATAAATCAACAAACCTCTAGGCCCCTGGATGTTCAGTTCTGTACCACTGTCCTAAACAGTCATCCTGGGTCACGTGCAAGCAGTGAGCATTTGAATGGTGGCCAGTACAACTCAGGAAGTAAACCATAAAATTTTAGTCAGAAGACTAATGCACTGCACTAATGTTCTTCCAGAAAGTACAACCTGATTAATTTAACAGGATGCATTTCCTTTATTACTGTATTGTAGCGCTCAGGTCACACACAAAATAATCACTGTTCTATCCAAGAACAGCAGATTAACTCAGCTCAAGCAAAGCTTATTTTCTGTGTGTAGGGGAGATGCTATGTGTTTATTATACAGTGAGGAAAGCTAGCTATGCACACCATGAGTGTCATCTAATGTGGAATGTGACTATTTTTTCTGGTTTAAAAAATAAATATTGGTGCTGAAGAGATGGCTCAGTGGGTGAGAGCACTGGCTGCTCTTGCAAAGGACCTGGGTTTGGTTCTCAGCACCCACAAGGTGGCTCACAACATTTTCAGCAAAGAATATTGGATAAGCAATTTTCTCTCCACGGTCAAGAAAGAATCAATAATATTAGTGGTTGAGATCATAAATACCTAACCAAAACACTATTTTGAAAAAGATTTACTTTACTATATTTAAATATATGTGCATGTATCTGTGTGTGTGTGTGTGTGTGTGTGTGTGTGTGTGTGTGCGCACGCGCATGCTCGCACTTGTGAGTGCATGTGCCAAGGGCAAGCATAGAATCCCCTGAAGCTGAAGAGTAGACATGATTGTAAACTGTCCTGTGGGTGCCGGCAACCAAACTTACATCCCCTGCAAGGGCAGTGTGTGTTACTAACCATTGAACAAGCTCACCAATCCTTGAACAAAAACATTCTTAAGCATTTCTTTCCCCTTGCAGTGCTGAGGACAGAACCCAGGGACTCCCACATCCAGGAAAGTCCTCTATAACTGAGCTACACATTCCCTGGCCTGCCAACAACTTTTTAACAGGACCTAAACTTGGAACTTCAGTTGGCCACAAAATCGCTTCCATTCTTACACAAAAAAAGAAAACCACTGTACATGGACAGATGATAAACATAAATTCTTTTAAGAAAAAAAGCTCAAAAAGTTATTGTGCTGGCCAGTTTTAAGTCAACTGACACAAGCTAGAGTCATCTGAGAAGAGGGAGCCTCAACTGAAAAAAAAAATGCATCCATGGTAAGACCTGGTTGTAAAGCAGTTTCTTAATTAGTGATCGACGGGGGAGGGCCCAATTGCAGGCTGTGCTGGTATTCCTGAGATTTGTAAGAAGGCTGAGCAAGCCACGAGGAGCTAGTCAGTAAGCAGCACCCCTTCATAGTCTCTGCATTAGCTCCTGCCTTCAGGTCCCGCCCTGTTTAAGTTCCTGTCCTGACTTCCTTCCATAATGGACTACGGATGTGGGAGTATAAGCCAAATAGACCCTTTCCTCCAAGTTGTTTTATGTCATGGTGTCTCATCACAGCTATAGTAACCCTAACTGAGACAGATATTTCTCAGGTTGCATAGTTAATCCCCAAGTAGACATTGGCTACAAACTCTAATATCAAAAATTAATTGAAAACTTTGAAAATATTAAAGTTTTCCTTAGCCTTAAAAAATTATGATATAAGCAGATGTTATGCAATTAATGCTTTGGGTATGCTTATATGGAAAAATATTGTCAAAGTTCAGTCTAAACAATGTTGAACTCATGGTACATCTTTTAATGTTTTGTATCTGTCAGAGAATATCATCCACATGTAAAAAAATTAGTTTCTGTCATGACAGAACTTGAAGGAGGTTGGGTTAAAATGTGGGTTTACTGGAATGGGGATACATGTTTCCTTTTCTATCACATTCTACCATATGGTACAGATTGAAAACATTTGCTTCTCTGCCCCTGATGATACGAACTGGAAACATTTGCTTTCTCAGGCCCACTTTATAAAAAGCATCATGGCTACAGCTGCCCAAATGGTTCAGTATACACTTGCAAACATCATGTCAGATGTTTTTAATAGTTTGAGAAACTATTAAAAAAAATCCAACAGAAGACCAAGCCCTTAGTGTGTGTTCTCTGCCAATACTCTCTGGTGGAGAAATGAAAGCATCTTCCCTTGCTAACTCCAGAGCTTATGTTCTTGAAGTAGAAATACTTGCCAAGTCATTATTTTCACCCAGTGAAGACATCATTTCATTCAATAGTCATAGATTTTTAAATGGCACTGTTACACACAATCTCACACATATTCATACTATACACACATGAGCTAAATGTATAGATCAAGGAAGAAGCTGTACACATATGATAACTTGTGTTCCAATTTCATATCATGCTAATAATCATGATTTTACATATTTTCATTATGCAACAAAATGCAGAAGATTTTAGTTGAGTTTTGACTGTGGCTGAAAAACTAAAAAACTGAAAATATGTCAAAAGTAACTTAAAATTACCTTTCAATGTGTTCACTACCCCCTTAAATCTAATATTAAGAAAATCAGCTGACATATAATTGGGTTACCGTTAATGTGGACTTTTTTTCAAATGTATGCTTTTGCTTCGAACTCTAGTCAATCTTTCTTAAAACTTAATCCATTTTGCCAATGTGAATATAAATATTAAATAAAAGATTTGCCTGATAACCCAGTTATTAAAAACCTTTTTGGGGGGTGGAGAGGAACAACTTGTTGGAACAGAAAGTACCAACAAAAACTTGGAATGATTTGGGTACAGAAATTTACTTTTTTGTTTGGTGTGCGTGTGTGCGTGTGTGCGTGTGTGTGTGTGTGTGTGTGTGTGTGTGTGTGTGTGTGTGTGAGAGAGAGAGAGAGAGAGAGAGAGAGAGAGAGAGAGAGAGAGCGTCTCGTGTAACTCAAGCTGACCTCCTTGGGACTTTGTTGTGCCTATTAAGTCAACACTCTACCAACAGAGCCACATCCCCGCCCCTAAATCTACTTTTCCTCCTTTTCTCTTTTTTGGTTTTTCAGGACAGGATTTCTCTGTATAGCTTTGGAGGCTGTCCTAGAACTCTCTCTGTAGACCAGACTGGCATTGAACTCACAGATCTGCCTGCCTCTGCCTCCTGAGTGTGGCGATTAAAGGCGTGCATCACCACCGCCCGGCTCTAAATCTACTTTTTCAACCTTAGTTTAAGAAATCTAAATTCAGCTAAAGGGTTTCCAGTGAAAATGTGACCTCTGACCCAGGACATGCTACAAACTTAAAATACATGTCAAATTTTGAAGACTTAGAATGAAAAAAAGTATAATTCATTTTTTATATTAATACAAAAAGACACTATAATTTAGGGTGTGGGTTTCTGTGGAGGCTACTTTTTGTAATGCTGGGGATGAAACCCAAAGCTTTGCACATGAAAAGCAAGTGTTTTACCAATAAGCTAATCTCTTATCCTCATTGACTTAGTTGAAGTTACCGTTGTTGTGATGAAATACCATGAACAAAATCAACTTGGGGATGAAAGGGTTTATTTCAGTCACAGTTCCAAAGAAGAGTTCATCAAAAGCAATGAGGGCAGAAACTCACACAGGACAGGATCTGGAGGCAGGAGCTGATGCAGAGGCCATGGAGGGGAGCTGCTTACTGTCTTGCTCCTCCTAGCTTGCTCAGCCTGCTTTCTTATAAGCACCCAGGACCACTAGCACAAGGATGGCCCCACCCACAATGGACTGGGCCCTCCTCCATCAATCACTAATTAAGAAGATGCCTTACAGCCAGATCTTGCATTTTCTCAACTGAGGCTCCTTCCTCTTAGATGACTCTAGCTATGTTAAGCTGACATAAAATTATTCAGCACCTCCATAATTTGGATTTATTTGTTTAAATAAAATAGATTGACTTGATAGCACCTGTTCTTTGCCCTTGCTGTTTTAGGTCTAAAATTACACATGTGACTAGCATCCCGTTTCTGTTGGGCAGTGCTGGTTTGTAAGGTGATCTTGGTTTGGAAGCCCTAACTTCCAGTACAGAGCCACAGCTAAGCTCTGCGTGAAGTCCTTTGCCTTCTTCCCTTCCTTCAGCAGCCAGGTTGGGAAGCAATTGTGCAACTGTAGGTTTATCCACACCTACACAGGAGTAACGCTCAGAAGAGAAAAAGCCTGCCACGAGATAAACAGTACTTCAAGGGCTCTAGGGTGTGGCCATAGATTGGTTCTTCATGAATTTCTGAAACTCCCAGAAGAGACAGAATGAAGGAACAGGTAGTCTAAGATCCAGCATAGAATCCCATCAAGGCTCTAGGAAGCCCTCTCAGGCAAGCCTGGCCATTCTGTCCTATTTGTACAAATTAGAACCCTCCTCAATATAAACAGCTCAATATAAACAGCTCAGTATAAACCTTGGAACCCACAGCTGATGCCCCCACTCCTCAGGTGCCATTCTATCCCACAAAATGAGAGATCACCTTCTAAGTCTCTAGTATCCCTGTAAGCCATACATAATCACAACCGACAAACACACTGCAAAAGGGAGCCAGGGTCTCCTGGAATTGCTACAGCCCCTGGCAGAAAAACTTAGATAACAAAGGAAGTTGATGATGATGATGATGATGATGATGATAACAGTCACATTTACAAGATGCCATTACAGTCGATACATCATGTTACTCTGGGTCAAAGAATGGCTATTGCCACCACCATCTAAGCCTATTTTGCAAATAGGACACTGGGATTCAGAATGGTGCTGTCCAAGGTAATAGAGCTGGTCATGACTCCAGCCTTGAATTGTCTCTGACTTATTATAGCTGTTAAATATGCAAATATGCAAAGCACTATTATTTTTATAGCATCCTCTGCTTCCTACTTATAAAAGCAAAACTCTACTTTTATCTTTATTTCTCTGTGTGGGTATGTTCACATTCCAAAGAGTATAGGAGCCCACAGTGGCCAGATGAGCTGGTCAGAGGCAGTTGTAAGCTATGTATTGTGAGTGCTGGGATCTGACACAAGTACTCTGGAAGAACAGAATGTGTGCTCTTAACTCCTGAGCCACCTATGCAGCCCTGGTCATTTACATTCTAAACACAAAAAGAATGTGTTGGCTGGGCAGTGGTGGCACACACCTTTAATCCCAGCACTCAGGAGGCAGAGGCAGGCAGATCTCTGTGAATTCAAGGCCAGCCTGGTCTACAAAGCTAGTTCCATGACAGCCAGAGCTGTAACATTGAGAAACCCTGTCTGGAAAAAACAACAAACAACAAACAAATAAAATACACCACACAAAGACTTTAGGAAGCCTCATTCTTTTAGGAGTTGCTGCTAAATCATGAAAATCCATCCCAGAGAAGAGAAATGGGAAAGACCAGAACCAACACATCCAAAGAAAAAGATGCTACCATATGCACCCAACCTCTTAAAGTCCAAAAGAAACGTTATCAAGGAAAAAGAGCATTTTGTATTGGATCCCATCTCCTAGTATCTCTACACGAAGGCTTTGTTTGTTTGTTTGTTTGTTTTTGTTTTTCAAGACAGGGTTTCTCTGTGGCATTGGAGACTGTCCTAGAACTAGCTCTTGTAGACCAGGCTGGACTTGAACTCACAGAGATTCACCTGCCTCTGCCTCCCGAGTGCTGGGACTAAAGGCATGCACCACCACCACCTGGCTTATGTGAAGGCTTTTTGACTATCATGCATGTTTACGAATTGAAGAAAAAGAGTCCAGGAGACCTACTATAGACCTGATCTTAGGGACCAGACAGAGAGCTTCCATAGGAAAATAACAGTAATGAAGATGGTACAAGAACCATAGGTCATTACTATATTACACTCAGAGAGAAGAAAGTTAAAGCACAAATACCCATATGTTGATACATGTTCTGCATCCACTCACCTAGTTTAACCCTCATAATTGCTTTGTGAAGGAGCCATTCAGGCTTAGAGGGATGAGAAGATTTGCCTGTTAATTAGATTCTTCAAAGAGCTGAAGTTAATCCCATACTGCTGGCCCTGGATCTCAGTCACTGTATACTGCTGAATTCTTCTACCTATCATACCATCCTTGTGATATCTAGCCATACCCCAATGGCTCAGAGATGAACGGTTGCTGCACTCTGTCCAAATGTCTTCTGAGGCCCCTTTAGCTGCTTGAGTCTTCTGAGGATGCTTGTACACACCCTTCTCCGGGGACCAGAAATGCCCCACAACTTATCCCCACCCCACCCCTTTACCCCCACCCTTTCCCCACAAGAAGAGAGCATGGGGAAGTTTCTAGGTAAGCAAATGCCAAGAAAAAGTGGAACTGCTCCTGACAGGACGGCAGATAGATGCTCAGTGTCTCTTCAAGTGTGGTGACTCTGAGGTATCACCCATGTCAGGGCAATGACTTCTGCTTGTCTCCTAACTCACCCTGCCTACCCTGCCCCCTCATTTGCAGATGGGTTTGCCTTGCACATCTTCCAAGAAACCACTTAACACTAGACCCTACCCCCCTTCTGGAGGTTTGGGCTCCGCTTCTAGGGAGCCTCACCTAGGAGACAGGCAGTGAAACACAGCAACGCCTTAAACTGTGGTCAAAGCAACCTACAGGAGGCCACAGCCCTGATATCTGTTGACTTTTAAAACAGGTTTTAGCCTGGCAGTGGTGGGACACGCCTTTAATCCCAGTACTTGGGAGGCAAAGGCAGGCAAATCTCTTTGAGTTCAAAGCCAACCTGGTCTATAGAGCTAGTTCCAGGACAGTCAGAGCTATTACACAGATACACCCTGTCTCGAGAAGAAAAAAAAAAGTGAGGTTTTTTCCCACTCCTTAAAATAATCCCTTATACTGGCCTAAGTACTTCAGGATGAAAGCTAAAACCATTTATATAAAACACCAAAAATGGAGGTCTTCAGGAACACTTACTTCACTAAGGAAGCTTTTCGGCACAGTTTGTCCGCCCCCCTGTAGTAATTCACCAGCTGTACCAGCCCAGGCTCATGACCTATAAGGAAAGAAGAGGCTCAGATTGGAAACAGAACAGGTGTGGAGTGACAATGTCAGCAGCAGCGTGCAGAACAGATGTGTCAGACCCAGCTTTCCTGTCTCTCGTTCCAGGCTGGCTGTCAAACAGTGGAATACTTTTGTTTCTTGGCCTCTCATTATCCTACTCTCAACACTGCAACATTAATGCTGGCATGCACGTCATCTGTGATGTGGCTGCCTTTCTTCTTACTAGGAGACCATTGGGTATTTTCTATTTCATTTCTTCTTGGTCCTGACATAGCCCTCTCTTAGCTTAACATGCGTTTAATCTGGTGAGCAAGGTTGCCTGCATACAGTCACACATCCATCCCAACCTCACTTTCTCCAGACACCAAAGAAGACAGCAGAGCATGGTGCATCGACCTTGGGGAGCTGCTACAAGCCTCTAAGAAGTGAAAGGAGGTCGTAGAAAGGCCCTGTGACAAGGTCGGGAGCCCTGAGAACTTCTTTGCACTATCCCACAAGGAAACATTTCAACAGTTCATACTACAAAAGCCTTTCTAAAACCACAACAGGCGGCTTGGAGTGTGGCTCAGTGGTACAGTGCATCATCCACACATATGAGGCCATGGTTCAATCCCCAGCACCACAAAAGATGAAATGAAGATAAAAATTGGAAATAAAGTAACAAATACGTTTTATTTAAAAAAATTTAACTCCTAGCCGGGCGTTGGTGGCTCATGCCTTTAATCCTAGCTCTTGGGAGGCAGAGGCCAGCCTGGTCTCCAGAGCAAGTGCCAGGATAGGCTCCAAAGCTACACAGAGAAACCCCGTCTCGAAAAAACAAACAACAACAACAATAACAACAAAAAAGAGACTTTGAGTTGGTGTCAGGAGTTAACAATAATTAATCCAACCATGGCATACAACCAAATCAGAACTTTCAGACACTATCTGGTTTTCATAGTCTTCCTGGGGAAGACGGGTCCAATTCACTGTTGACCTGGTACCACCTCATCCCATTGGCCCTGCGTGGCTCTCTGTGCTTTCCCCTTGGGTTTTACACAGCCCACTTTAGACAAAATGTGAATACTCCCAACAGTGAAGATGCAGAACCATTTTAGTTATGAGGATGCATCCATCTTTTCCATAAAAATACAATGTTTGCTGGTCATTGGCTAAATGTGTGGTGCCTTCTTAGGACTGGTCCCAAAGTGTTTCACTTTGTCATCACAACACCAAGGCCACCTATCCCAGCCCAGCCTAAGCAGGGCCTTTTGGTGTGTTCTGAATACCAAGATTCTACCTAGGCTCTTCCCATCAGGCATTGTCAAGTGCCAGAGGAAGGGAAGTCAGGAAGGGAAGAGGCAAAGCAAAGAGGGACAACCTGGTAGTCATTCCTATACTACTTTCAGGGAAGTTAGTTTTGTGGGACTTTCTTTGCTGAGCCCTTCCAGAGGAATCTGGTTAACAAGCACATTTCTATTCTGAGATTCCCGAGACTTCCACCTGGCCCCTCTACAGAGTCATCATGCTACGGCATAAACTTGTAAAACCATGAAAAGTTGTCCCAGACTATTTCAGTAAGGTTAAGCCTTAACATACTTCGTCTTCAAGCTACCACATCTTGATAGGGCTGTAATATCACCCAAATGCCTTATGCAAGCTTGACAAATGGCTAGTTAATTCCGAACGACCTGCTTTCGGTCTAGTCTCATCCATCTGTGACCACACCTATTTCTGAAAACACTCCCCTTTCCAAGGCATGGGACACTACTCTCCAAGGTAGAGATGTTTCTTCCTCCCTATCAGTTCTCCCCTTCTGTCTTTGGACTACAATACCAAGTAAATTTTTGCAAAAGAACCAGCTACCCAGAGAGAGGCAGGCCTTGCTCAGATAACTGTGCAGTGAAGAGACCATGAGACCACGCTCAAGTCTGTAGGGTGCCAGTTGAACCCATCTGGACAACTTCTAGATTACGTCATTTAAAAGAGAGTAGCTGCCCCTTCCTACAGGAAAGTATGTGAATAAAGTGGTACCAAGCCAGCTTCGCCCATACGGATGAGGAGACCAAAGGGCATCCAAACTCCTGTTAAAAACCATCATTAGACACACAGTTTAAGCTGCACTTTTGGTGCAGCTTAAAGGTCTGAAATGGAACACCCACCCCACCCTCCACTCCCACCCACCGGCTTCCCTGGAAGCTCCCACTTTGGATAATTCAGTGAGTCTTTTCCAAATGGGCCTCCCGGTAGCACAAGCCTCTGGGGTTACAACAACGACAACTCCCCCTCCACACCCACACCACACAAGGTGGAATCCTCGGTGGCAGAAAGCTGCAAGACGACTGCAGCGGGCTCAGGGAAGCTCCGGGACAAGGCCGGGTGCAGGGCTAGGTCACTGTCAGCAGACAGCGCAATCGCACCCAGGCTCCGTTCCGAATCCAGCTATGGGTTTAGGTCTTGCTGGATCCATTTTAGATCTACCAGAGCGAGCTAGCGTCTGGAGAAGATTAATGACCTTAAAAACAAAAGCGTTGGCTCTCCGGGGCCGTGCGAGCAGCGGCCACGAGGGAAAGGCTCACCCAGTCTCCCGAAG